GTCTTTGTTCTTGAAAATGAATGAGTAGCTTGACAGTTAGTCCTCAAAAAGATGAATAATCGAAAATCTTTTCTAGAAGACAATTGAGCTGATCTGTTGAAGCAAAAAAAAAAAACACCAATGAAATAATTTCAAGGAGAGATTCATTAAGAGTGGGACTTCCAGATTAACCTCAATGGGGTTAGGGTGATAAAAGAGAACGTTTATTTTGTTTCTGGCTATTTTGTGACTTTACGAAATAGGATAGATCCAGGAATTTGAAAGAGAGGTAGACTAATTTATAGATTTCTTATGTATTTCACATTTTGGATTACCCTGCTCATTTGCCTTTTATTTTATTGATTTTTGGAGAGATTTTCTTCCATTTCCTTTTTTGGTGCCAAGGGTGCCTGCCCGCCCTTCACCTGGTGAATTCCAGCCTGCACTGCTGGAGTGAAGACATCAAAGTGGTAGCAGGGACAGCTCTCCTGCCATTCCCCCTATTTTGGAGTTTCAGGAGTTATATTGCCTGTTGTGAATGTGTGTTTGTGTGCTGTATTTTGATGATGATCATAATGATGATTTCTCTTTCTTGTCCGTACTATTTCCTGCTGCTGAATTTCTGAAGATGAAGAAGATGGTGAGGCAATGATAAGTGGGAACTTTGAATTATCATTAGTGCCTGCATATGTCTGTGAATGTTTGATTTTTCTTTCTCATGTATGGCTGTTGCCCACTTTTGGAGTGATTGATTGTCTGTTGCCTTGCCCCTGCCTTTTTTTTTTTTAAACTAGTTTTGTACAAAACCAGTTCAAAAACCAGAGTTCTCAAGGGCTTAATTGGCTGTAGTTCCAGAAACCCGAATCAGAAAACAAAAGAGAAAGAACCCAAAAGTTTTGGGTACTTTGAGGTTTACCAAAGGACCTCAACCCGAAAGAACACAAAACTGAAAGAAGACCCACCCCCCAAATGACCCCCTGAAATGAAAGCAATCCAAATGTTTTTCCTCTGCAGATCCCCAATACCTATGTTAGCTTATGGTACCTTCAAGTGGAATTTGATGGTGACCGTTTTCGGAAACATCTGAAGGTATGAGTTAGAAGTCCATGAACATTTGGCCCAAGTTAACACTTGTTGCTATTAAAGGCGCTGCAAGATACTTGGCTTTTATCAATTACCATCATTGTTGACATCTGCTAAACAAACATACAAAATGTTTACTCAGAGGTAAACCTACAACATGCAGTGACACTTCCTCCCCAGTTACTAAGGCTTGGTCAGCAAAGTACAGGATTGCCATGTAAACCCATTGGTTTGAGAGAAAGCGCTATAAATACATGGAAGAGGAAATGCTTTGCATGAGAGGATTGAGGTTCATCCTCTGTAATCTCCAGGCAGGGCTGGAAAGGACGACAGCCTGAAATCTTGGAGATCCACCGCTTGTCAGTCTAGACAACACTGATGAATGGGGTGAACCCATGGCTAGATAAACCAACAACCTGACTCAGCATAAGGATGATTCTGTATGTGCCTTTCAAATGTATTGGCCTATCGTTCTCTCGCATAGCAGCTTCCAAGTTTATTCCCAGCATCTCCAGATATACAGCTAAGATATATAGCTGTTCCAGAAACCCAGGAGACCTACTGCCAGTGTAGAGAACATTAATCAAGATGGAACCATGGTCAGGCTCAATAAAACCACTTTCCTTCCTCTTTCACCTTCTGTTGTTTGTGGAAAAGTGGTCATATATATTTTTCTAAAAAAAAAAATAAAGATGCCAGGGAGTCTTGTTACAAGACAGACAATCATTTATCCTTTGGGAAAGCCTTTTTGATGGCTGAAGCCTCTTCCAGATGAATTTTTATGTTGTGATTTGTTCTACTGGCGTCTTCACACGGACGGTCCTCCTATATTACCAAATTATTCTCCCAGGTTTCTGGGCTTTTTGAACAAGAGTGAAATAAAGGTGGTTTATTATTATTATTTTTGTCTCACTCCCCTTCAAGAGGATGCGAGATGGAAATGTCCCCTACCACACCTGGGCATGAAATATTCTACCCAATTTGATTTTATCTGAACATGCTGACAGTTCCAAAGCTAAGGTGCTCATCTATGATCGTGCGCTGCAATGCACTTCCAATAGCTCAGATGAGGGGACGATTTCTCAAGGTACCCCCCGAACACTGCTCCTGTGTTAATCCCCTCTTAGAATCCCATCACATACATTTTCACTGTCCAAAATATTCAATACAGTGGTGCCTCGCTAGACAATGATAATCCGTTCCACTGAAATCGCTGTTTAGCGAAATCATTGTCTAGCGAAAAGCATTTCCCTATTGGAATGCATTGAAACCTGTTTAATGCCTTCCAATGGGGAAGAATCATCGTTGTCTAGCGAAGATCGGCCATAGGAAAGCCACTTTGCGAACCGCCGATCAGCTGTTTAAAAAGCTGTCTTGCAAAGCTTAGGTCCCAAAAACACCCATTTTGCGAGCTGTCAAAATCGTTGTCTAGCGGAAATCGGTTTGCGAAGCAGGGACCAAACATTGTCCAGCGAAATTCCCCCATAGGAATCACTGTTTTGCGAATCGCTATAGCGATTGCAAAAATAAATGTCTAGCGAAAAAAACTGTCATGCAGGGTAACTGTCTAGCGAGGCACCACTGTAACTAGATCCTTCAATAAATGGCTATCAGAATATTCAACCTTCTCAGCTACCTCAAGAAGAAGATGCCTCTTGAGCAGTCGTTGCTGAAATTGTCTTGTAGATGTGGCAAATTTCTGCTCTAACGTATTTTTTAATTCTAAAACTAGACACTGTGTACGGGGGATAGGGTACTAAACCTAAATAAACTCGAAACTTTTTGTCTCACTTCACCGGTGGCAAGAGGATTGTCCCGAGAATGTCTGTGTGAATGCATGATGAGGAAAAGGAAGCAACGATTAATGCAGTTGAGAGAAGCATGCATGAACTGCACTGAACAACAGCGCTGGACAACTGGGCAATGCATGTACAGCAGACATCCAGTGATGAAACGGAGAAGCGTTTTGGTTCTAGACTGCTCACCATCAGGATATGACTCCCAGGAAATCTCCCATCTGTCAACAAGGAACAGAAAAAGGAAGTAAAAGATGGAGATACAAATGGTCTGTCTGGACTTGCTCCAGGAAAGGAAGAAAATAGGTCAGCACGATGCAGCTTCCCAAAATGTCAAAGGTTGCGCAGGTTCATAACGAGAGGTGGTTGAAGGGAAATGTGCCACCTAATTAACAGCAGTTGCCCCATCGCTAACACTTAATTAAGTGGTGGAGGAGGTCACAGCAGGGTGTGGTGGATTTACCATCGCTTGCAGGTTTCAGCCACACATGAAGCGATAGCTGCGTTGTGGCTCCACAAGACAATCGAGACTCAGACAAGAAATGACCCGATGGAACTTAAACCCCAAATATTGGGCAAGACCTGCATGAATGATGATGATGTCTTCTGCCTTGTTTCACACTCAGGCTCTTTCTTCTTTACTAAGAAGTAGAAGCAAAATGAAGAAAGGAAGGCTGTAGGTCATTGGTAGAATATAGAGTAGAAGAGTTTGCTTTCTATCCAGGAGGTCCCAGGATCACAACATCCCCTGATATCGCTTAGAAAGAGTCCCTTGAAAATCCTGGACCATTGAGGCCAGACAATTGTCAATTAGGGCCTAGGAAGTTTTGGGCTGCTAAATGTTTTGGACTTCAACTCCAAGAGCCCTCAACCATCATGGCCAACAGAAAGGAATTCTATGTGTTGTGTTCCAAAAATCAGATGAGCCAAAGCCTCCCTACGCTTTGGGTAGACAAAACTCAGCTAGATGGATCAACGGTCAGTCATGATATAAGGAGGCTTCCTACATTCTCAACATGTGATTGTTGAGAACCAACATAAATGTCTTCTTTATGCCCAAGATCAGAGTTTGGAGGAGCTGCTTTTGTGGACAATGGGAATCTGAAGGTTCTGGGAACTGTAGTCTTTAAAAACAACAAATAGTTTTGAACCCTGACCTAGGTGATGCTTGAACACCTCATTGCTAAACAACCTGGGCTCAATCTGTCATGCAGCTTAAAGTGCTTTGTGGTGGGCAGCCAAGAATCCGAGGAACCTTCTAACGATCAACTGCTGGATAGCTCAGTAATCTGAAGGTTGAGAGTTCAGTTCCCCACTGTGCCTCTTTGACAGGGACTGGACCCGATGATCCGTAGGGCTGACAGGGGCTGGACCCGATGATCCGTAGGGCCGCTTCCACCTCTGCAGTGCTAAGATGATGATTTTGTTTGGCCATTTCCTTATCTCAAGTGAACATGCATTTTTCAATGTATGAATCACAGTGCTGAATTGAGCCAGACGTCCACCCCAGCATTGCCTCGCCCTTCATCGGTCAAATGTTTTCAAGTGTTTTTATTCATATCTTGGCAAAATGTTCTCCTTGGTGATCATATCAGTGGCTGGAGAGCTTTGAAAACTCATCAGGCCAAACAACCATACTGGAAGATGCTTTATCACTGGAGAGAACCAAATGGGACAGGGTGCTATGGTATTTCATTGTGCTGAGCACCTTTTGAAATTTTAACATTCAATGCTCAGGGGTCTTTAACATCCTCTCGCCAGTCCAGATATAAACAGATGCATATTCAAGATGACAACTGCATAAAGAACATTTAGAGGTACATAAAAACAGTATCCAACCCATTTCTTTATAAGAAAACCTGCTTATTTGAAACTAAACTGGACGCAATATTTCTTTGTTCCTTCGTTTCTTTAGTTCTAAGCAAGACACAGCATGTTTACCAATAGACAATTTAGATGGATTTTAACTGGAGAGAAAAAAAAACAGAACAACTGGACATGGCTATTTAACAATTTTCCTTTTATTTCCAAGAGTAACAATGTTTATCTGGACCAGATAGCACCATTCACAAGGAGCAAGGAGCAGCAGGCTTTCTGAATCCCCATGATCTGCAATGAGATGCAAACAAACTTGTGGGAAAATAAAAGCGAGCAGGAGAGAGGTGGGGAGGAAATCCCAAAACTGCCCCTTGTAAACCGATTTGTTCAGTCGCCATAGGAAGCTAACCAAATGTTCCGAGGGGTGGACAGAAAACCGCACAGAAAGAAAAGGTAATATCCTGGCAGAGGAAGTGACTGCCTGGCTGTAAATCCTAAATATGAGCAAAGCGTCCATGCGATCACACTTTGTTGAGGTCCCACTCATGGTGTCCTTAAATTAAATATGGGCCCTGGGAAACCCTAAAACCTGAGATATTCACAGAATCATAGAAGACCTGAGTTGGAAGGGGCCTATAAGGCTATTGAGTCCAACCCCCAGCTCAATGCCTTAATGGCTGACATAGGTCACTAGAGCCAGGGTGAAACATTGGACTAGTAATCTGTTTTCCCTGCTGATTTACCCCCTTTCCATCCCATTCACATCCTCCCTGTAGCAGATACAAGGTGTTGACAGGGGATGAAGGTCATTCTGATCCTGCCTTACAGCCTCTGTCCACCCCATTGGAGAAGCTACCCTAGCTTTTCCTGCTTGGATGGCTCTGGTTCGTCACATTCGGTGACATTGATGAGGGGTGAGGTGTATGGCTTGTAATCTGTCCCTCGGAAGACCTGAGGACCCACTTCAACTCTGTCCTGTTTGCTGAGAGGGTCTTTTCTGAGGGAGAATACCTCGCCGTCGTGTCTACTGTGACTTTCGCTTCTGACCTGAAGGTTCTCCTTACACCTCTTTCCAACAAGGTAGAGGGCTTCGGCGAGGCTTAGGAGAATGCAGATACAGGCTGTTATGATCATGAAAAGGGTAAACATGTTCTTCTCTGTTGGCCTAGCGATGTAGCAGTCAACCATGTTCGGACAAGGGGGCAGGCCGCATTTCACCAGAGTGGGGAGCCTGTAGTCTGGGTACACTCGGTAGAAGATGTAGAGGAAAATAATGTCTACGAAAGCTTTGGTAAGGAGACTGATGAAGTAGGTCCACCATAAGCCCCCACGCTTCTTGCCTGGGGGATAGCGTGGCCTAGCATCGTGGCCAACTTTCTCCAAATGTTTCCTCAGCTTGGCCTCCCGGTAGGCGACGTGCATGACAACCATCAAAGAAGGACAAGTCACAAGGATGAGTTGCAAAGCCCAGAGACGGATGTGGGAGATGGGGAAGTAGAGATCATAGCAGACATTGGGGCAGCCGGGCTGCTGTGTGTTGCAGTCAAAGTCCTTGGAGTCATCTCCCCAGACCTTCTCAGCAGCCACTAAGTAGACCAGCAACCGGAAGATGAAGACTACGGAGAGCCAGATACGTCCAAAGGCGGTGGAGTATTTGTTCACTCCACCGAGGAGGTCTTCAAAGCCAGACCAGTTCATGGTTTCTGGTTTCTTCTCTTAAACGGTTCTGTAAAGACATCAACAGGAAATTGTAACTCAGGCTTTCTTATGTACTAGCTGGAGGTCGAGAAAGTTGTATGGCAGTACATTCGAAGTGCAGGTTGAGGAAGGCTAAAAACTGATCATACTGTATCTGAAACATATAGCAGAACAATAAAATGTAGTTTTTCAAAAACATCTTACTTCTAGAGCTCTAAAACAGATAGTCCCCTTACCCCATCAAAATGCTTGCTTTAACTGGCTTTCTCTTAAGTGGCAGTCATGTGAATGGCTACCAAAATTCATCAGCACGACTTTTAAGGATGATTGGAGTGCCCCCCCAAAAATAAATAGCCTGGGAGAACTGCAAGTTCATGATTCCCACCCCCTGATTGAAGTTTTCCTGGGTTCCAATGTAGATGTCCCTGTGCAGACACAAAGTAGAAATGATCAATCTATCAAAGAACTAGGAAAGCCGGGCAGGGATTCAAATTTTATGCAGGGTTTTCTAAACCATCCACCAGTCCTGCTTTGTCACGATGGCTCTCACCCAGACAACTGCCTGTGTGTGATTAAACCTGGCAACAGGCCTATGCTGAGACCAGGAAATAGCCTACGTACATTTCTTAATTATGTATGTGTGTGTGTATAAAAGATTCTGGAAAGTGATCCTAGACAGGAAGAGAGTGTTGTTGCAAATTTGCAAGACGTTCCTCATTTATTTCCTCCTTGAGATCTTGAGGCATCATATGTCATGAAATCGTTATAACTGTTGGGATAAAAAGAAGTATGAAAATACAGGTGAGCCCGTAGATAGGGACTTCTGTCTCAGTGGATTGAATCCCAGCTGTTCTCTGGAAGTAATCTACTAATGTCGTTGACGACAAGTGATCTATCATTGCTACCACCCCTGACTTTCCATGTCCAAGCATGTATCCCAAACTGTAGTCTAACACTCCGTCCAGAAGACCAGTGGTTCCCAACCTCAGGTCCCTAGACGTTCTTGGACTGCAAGTCTCAGGTGCCTTCACCACTAGCCGTGGTGGCAAGGTCCAAGAACATCTGGGGACCTAAGGTTGGGGACCACTGCACTGGACCACACTGGCTCTTACCTAGACATCAACAGATGCAATTTAATGCAACTTGATATTCTCTTATGCCTTCTATGATGATGATGCACGCCTGTTTTTGCTTTGGTGATGCAGAGGAGGCCATCTCTACATCTACCGTCCAGAACCCCAGTCTTGCTACTCTTCTTTTTCAGCTCTGTGTTTGATTTCTCTGGGTAAAATGGAAGAAGAAGAGACAGTGTAGCAGCCTTGAGCTGCTTTGCCTTCTGTGTTTTTTCACCCCCAGCACTTGCGTAGACTGGACCCAAAGAGAGGGGGCAAGCTCATGGCCTACAGAGCAGGACCCGTGAAGAGCAAGTGTGTCTTTGAAAGGTAGGCCTCCCCCCTGATCTTCCAAGAGCTGCTTGCCCTGTCTTTTCTCAATGGCCAATGACAAAAACAAAAAAACACCCACAGCTGGTTTTAACCAATGCATGCCTAGCCATGGAGAATGACTGGAAACATGGGCAGCCTTTAGAGTTTCCAATGGTTAGTGCTGCATTTCTGGAGAGACAGGTCTTCCCTGAAGAATCGCGGTGGACAACTCTTGTTCTTTGAAGTTGCCAAGGCCTGTCCCCACTGGAGAAGATGCACTGCAGTTAGTAGGGGAGAAAAGAAGGCATTTAGGTGGAATGGGGGGGGGTTCAACTGGGACATGACAGGAGCCTTTGAAAAGCAAGACGGGGAGAAGCAACCGAAGGCTAATTAGGGTTTAGAAGAGCATCGCTGAGCTGTCTGAAGCTCCCTTCTCCCCTCAAGGATCTCTGCAAGCAAAGCAAAGAGCAGGCGAGGCTGCAGCGAAAATAGCATTCATTGCAGAAATGCCAGAAGCCTTCAGGAAAGACGCAAAGGTGATTCATCTTTAATCTGTATAACCAGCCAAGATTTACTAATTCATTGCAGACCAAGCACTAAGAACTAAAAACAAGAATTTCCATGTTGGCTCACATGGGGTTTCTACCTCACCCAGAAAGTTGATTCCAACCACAGGTGACTTTGTGGTCTTAGAGCCTCTCAAAGTAGACATAAATGCCACGAAGCATATGCAGACCTCTCCTTTAGGAATTTTTCTAATCCTTCTCCCCCCCACACACACACTTTTTAATTGCAAGTCTTGGGAAACAAGTGGCAAACTATCTTTGCATCCTGAACACACCTTCATAATTGTGTCTGCTTTCGGAAACTAGGCAGGGCGAGTCCCGATCTTTTCTTGGCTGGAGGACCACCAAGTAAGCGGTTTTGTCCAGGTAAGGCTAGGTAACTGTTCTTTCTGAAATGCTTAAATGCTTCTGGTAGAAGCCAGAGTGGACAGTACGAGGTTGGATGGAGCAAAAGTCTGACTCATAGACAAGGCATTGACTGTGGGCGCAGTCCATGACACGACCCACACATTCACTTGTTTTGTGTTGTTCATGACTTACTGTGGAAGACCTGCAGAGATTCCAGTAAGAAATTCAAGAAGATGAAATCATAAGACACGTCGAAATGGAAAGAGATGGTCACTGCATTTGGGCCCAGAAAAAAGACAGGACTTTAGGGCAAAACTTTATATTTTATGTACTCAGTGCTCTACCGGAAACCAACGGGAGAAATCCAAGCTCCGAAAGATGTTTGGAATCTCGGTCCAAAAGGGGGGGGCGGCGGCTTATTTTAGTTTAGAGGGCTTCTGTTGTAGTTGTTGATGGTTTGAGTTTTTAATTTGTTTGTTCTGTAGTTTTGCTAAATAAAAAAAAAAGATGGTCACTGCATAGGCAAGCCGAATCTTGTATACAATTGCAGCTGTTTTTGCAGGTAACCTACTCTCCATCAGGGGAAGGTGAATGGGAGGAAAAGGATATAAGACCCCCCCCAAAACTACTCTCCATCAGGGGAGGGTGAATGGGAGGAAAAGGATATAAGACCACCCCAACACACACACACACACACACACACACACACACACACACACACCAAACTCATGTGTTCATTTCATGTAGACTAGGGTGGACAATGTGGTCTTCAGATGCTTTTCTACAACTCCTACCTTTCCTAGTTGCTATGTTGGCTAGAGCTGATGGTAGTTATACCATATTTGTAGCGCCATGTTCTGCTCGCTGCTGCTGTAGACAGTGCTGAGTGAAATGCAGAGCTTGACAAAGTTACTATCTTTGGGTTGTGACTCCAAGAGTCCTCCCTCCCCACTCATCCAGATGGCCACTGGACATGCCAAGTGGGGGCCCTTGGAAACTGGAGTCTGGAGAATCATTGCTCCAAGCTTTGACTGTCTGGGCTAGTGGCCTGAACATGAACTGCTGGATAACTCCGTGATTTAGGTCTCTGGTTCCAGAGCCATAGGCTAAGAGTTCAATTCCTCGCTGTGCCTCCTGGACTCAATGATCCACAGGGTCCCTTTCAGCTCTGCAGTTCTAAGATGTCGATGATTCAGCCTGAACTGGCATCTGACCGCTAATCTTCAGACATGAACGAATAAGGCAGGGCAATCTGTTCAATCTTTTAAAGGAGGAAACAAACAGGAGGGGTGGAAAACAGAAAAAAGAGCCAAGAAGCCACTGGTGGTGAGGCAACCAGGGGGGAAAAAGTTATTGTATTGTTAGGAACTGCTGCTGTTCACCTCTCTCTGTGATCCCCTAATTCATCATTGCTGTTATTTAATGTTTATAAAGCACCTACATTTATGCATGTAAATCTATGCATTTATTTCTTAAGCACCTCCATTATTACCTCTTTTATATTTCAATCATTGTTGCTGACACATCTCCCCTCTTCTCTGTTCTGTGTAATTAGTTTCAGGTCACCCGAGGCCCCCCCCCAATGCTTTTATCCTCTCTAATTTGCTTTATGTAGTTTTAACGATGCTTACAACACTTCACTGCCTCCTCTTCACATGATGGATGTTGGGCGTCCCCTTCCCAGTTACTTGTCGTTTCTTCATCTGCTCTGCTCCCTTTTGTCTCCCACTTAACAACTTCTCTGAGAGCCCACACCGCTTTGCCATTGGTATGAGAGGACCTCCGGTTGTGGGGAGGGAGAAGAAAGCCATGCGTCATGCCTATTGTATTGGGGTTCTTAATAATAAGCACAAACCGTCAAGGCGATTCCAGTGTATGATGATTCTTTTCAGGGTCTTCCAGGTAGAGAAAATACTCAGAAGTGATTTTTACCCTTCTTTTCATCTTGGGGCAGTTCTGTGACTGTGCAGCTTGCCCAAGGCTACACAGGCTGGCTCTTCTGAGATGCACAGTAGGGAATTCCCAACCCTTGGCTCAGCAGCCAGATATCTAAACCACTGAGCTATCCAGCCAACTTTGGGGGATCTTAGGTAAAGGTTCCCCTTGACAGTTAGTCCAGTTGTGTCTGACTCTAGGGAGCGGTGCTCATCCCCGTCTCCAAGCCGTAGAGCCAGCGTTTGGCCGAAGACAGTTTCCGTGGTCATGTGGCCAGCGTGATTAGACACGGAACGCCGTGACCTTCCCACCGAGGTGGTCCCTATTTATCTACTTGCATTTACATATTCCTTCAAGATTGTCCCTCTAGATATAAGATCTTTCAGTGGCACATGCCTGAGACGTAAGACATACAAATAAACCTGTGCTCTCTCCCAGCTGCTCACCTACAAAACAAAAGCAAGCTAAGGGGCCAAATGCAAGTTAGATGGAAGCTCGTGTTAGAACAGCAGACTTTATTTTCCTGTTTAAGGAGCACTGCTTCTCCACGTGGAATCAGTATTTAGTCCAGAAAAGTTCCCTGTTGGAAATGAAAAGCCATCATGCATATAAAAATAACCAGTGTTTGGTGTGGAGCAGAGACAGAGAGAAAACCCAGCAGACCTAGGCATCTTAAGCAAACATTTGGCCAGATGTAAATTGCTATAATTCCTTGTTCTTCTTGGAGGCCAATTGTCTGTCACCT